ATATAATCTAAGTGAATATTGAGTTATGGTCTGTGGCTGGGTGGTAGTTAAAGTGATAAAATAAAATAAAATATCAAATAAATAAATAAATAACGAATGTAGTAAATACAAGATAAAATAAAATGAAAATTAAATAAAATTGTACATTTGTGTTAAGGCCAATTCACACAGCACAGACAAACGCCAACAAACACCAACAGAAAAGTCTGTCGGAGTTTGTTTTCACCTGAATGAACATGTTCAATCGTTTTTGTTGGGTCATGGAATGTCTGAGCAATGTGAAATTATTTTCCAACAAACAACAACAAACTCTGACGTAATCTGACCTGGCCATGAACTGTTGCCATGACGATGAGGCGAGTAAGTGCTAGGTGTGCTTAGCAAATTATCCTAAAAATGGCAGGTGTCTGGACAAGTTTGTCGGTGTCTTTTGGGGCAGTGTGAACATGACAGTTATTTTTCATAAAATTCTAAATCCAACAGCCAACTTGTTGGGGATTTTTGGCGTTTGTCTGTGCAGTGTGAATTGGCCTTTAAGAACATTCAAGTGATGAAAAAACAAGGTTCTGAAAGCTGTATTACATTTTTATACATATTTTAATATTAATGATTATTGAGTTATGGTCTGTGATTGGGTGGATTTAGTGAAACTAAAACAAACTAAAATTAATAGTGCAAACTAAAATAATAAAGAGTGAAATAAAAGATAAAAATAAATGAAATGGTACATTTGTTACAATCATTCTAGTGATTAATTTCAAATGAGAAAAAAACTGCCTAATTTAATAACTAGTAGCAAGTAAAATTGTGGAGCATTCCAGGAATTGCAAGAATTTCTCAAAAATGCAATGTAAAATCTTACACTATAACGTTGCATTGATAGGTTTCTTAAACAGAAAGTACTTCTGCAAATTCATAATGAAGTTACTATCTCGTCACGAAGCACATCTTTTTATAAAATGGATCTATTACCGCTAAGAATAGTAATTCACCTCCATTATTGTCTGATCACCAAGGGAATAGCCCTGCATTATACACAGAGCAGCTCGGCTTCAAGTTGCTCTGAGATTAAACTATGAATGCCAAACAGATCAGACCCAAGTCCACTTTCATCTTCAAAGCCTGCGTGTTGTTCATGAGTTGTTTCAAAGGGACGGTGCTGGCTTTCATTGCACGTGTTTTAAAGAATCAGAGGCCGGGCTGTAGGCAGTGACTGAACACCACAGCATCTGAGAATCAATTACCTTGTCCGGTTTTACATGCACCCTCTCTGGGCTTGACCCGTGTGGCGTTTTAACGGGCAGAGGCGCTCTGCGGGAGATGTTCTTACAAATGAAGCTACAGCGAGCGGCCTTTAAGCAGCTTGTAAATGGATCAAGGCAATGCCATAAATATGGAGTTTCCTGTTGGCTAGTAAAATAAATGAGGGCCACTGTTTGGAATAATCTCTGTCTCAAGAAATCCCTTTCTCCACTTCCATTTGTAAGTCACGCTCTCCCAGATATATATATTAGCACTTCAAAGACTCCGAGTCCATTTTGCCAGTTACAGGGTAGTGTCAGTTACATAAGGATTTCCTTTTGTTACAGCACAGTTTTTGGACTGTATTAATGGAGATTAGCGACATTATTTTATCTCTGCAAGACTGCAACATTATTTTCATTTATGAATTTGGTAGATACTTTTATTAAGCTTATGCAACATATTGCATTCATGGTAAACCTTTTTTAGTGTATGCATTCCCTGGTAATAGAACAAATGACTTTGTTTCCATCTAGGACAATACTAGTCATATTCATTATAATTACCCTTGTGAAAAAGAAGTCCCTTTCTCCACTTCCATTTGTAAGTCATGCTCTCCCAGATATATATATATTAGCACTTCAAAGACTCCGAGTCCATTTTGCCAGTTACAGGGTAGTGTCAGTTACATAAGGATTTCCTTTTGTTACAGCACAGTTTTTGGACTGTATTAATGGAGATTAGCGACATTATTTTATCTCTGCAAGACTGCAACATTATTTTCATTTATGAATTTGGTAGATACTTTTATTAAGCTTATGCAACATATTGCATTCATGGTAAACCTTTTTTAGTGTATGCATTCCCTGGTAATAGAACAAATGACTTTGTTTCCATCTAGGACAATACTAGTCATATTCATTATAATTACCCTTGTGAAAAAGAAGTGTGTGTAACTGTTTTGAATGTGCACTTGTAGTGTAAAAAAATGTAATTGCAGATGATATAATATGTAATGTAATAAAAGGCCACTTAAGTGCACTTTAAGAGTATTCTTCCGTGATGGTTTATTTTAGAAAGTGCACTTTGTAATAATTTCAAATTAAAAGTTTTACTTTAAAAGTACATTTTAATCATTATGATTAACCTTTTGTCATGCTTTACAGAAATACATTTACTTTGATGTGCTGAGAAACATACTAAAGCTCGTATACTGAAAGTACTTGATTGTCATTTTAACTACAGCGTTATTCGATATCGCATTAAAAGTTAATATATTTTAAATGTACTAAATTACAACATCATTCCACATGTGTAAATACAAATAGATGACATTAAGGTATACTTTATTTTAGTTTAACTGCATTTAACATACATTTAAACTGTAACACATTTTCATTTAATTGCATCAAATATGTCCACAGTTAAGTGTATGAAAACATTACATTCAGTTCACACTTATAGTTAAGCCAAAAATTTAAATTTGAAATGAAAAAGCTGCATGTCTTGTAAGAAACAAATCTATCATAAAGGCATTTTAACTTCAAACTCTCACTTCTGGCTAAAATATGAATCCATAGTAATGCTTCCTTCAGTGAAAAGGTCAATCTCCTGTTGTCCTCTCACATCAAAATCCACCGTTATATTTGTTTAGAGGTTTGTTTTCATTTGTAAACGGTGCTTGACCTGCATATTTCTTCCTTGATTCAGATGAGATGACTTTTTCACTGGAAAAAGCAATTTTATGGATAGAGGACTCGTACTTTAATGTCTTAATGATGGATTTGTTTCTTACAAACACAGCTTTTCGCTTCACGACACATTAATCGATGAACTGAAGTCGTGTAGATTACTTGTGGATTATTGTGATGTTTTTATCAGCTGTTTGGACTCTCATTCTGACGGCACCCATTCACTGCAGAGGATCAATTGGTGAGCAAGTGATGTAAAGCTACATTTCTCCAAATCTGCAAATTTTCATTTTTGGGTGAACTATTCCTTTAAGAATGTTATTTCAGTAATAACTACTCTTTTTAAAAGTATTTTTCACAAGGGTATAGCTGATATTTACCAGTTGCCTCTTTAAAATGTATTATACTCTTCAAAGCCCAAAACAAATGTATACTTTTCCCTGAGTGCACGTTCATCCTCTTTTCAGTTAGCTGTGGAGATTATTCGAGTGTCTTTGTTCCTCAAGTGACAAACATTTTACTAGGCCAGAGAAACAGAGCAAAAAAACTTTACAACCAAGCTGAAACGTAACTATTTGTGTCAGCGAGACTGATTGCATGGGTTGTCTGGGTATGCAGTGTTCTGCTCGAGCGGATCTGCATGGGTTCAGACAAGTCAGTTTTTGCATTATTAGAAGCTGTTCAGAGCCTGATAACACCTGTCTCTGACCTGTAATAATGTAACACCTGAAACAAATTTAATGTATGTCAACAAAGTTATGCGTGCGTGACATTTCTAGCTTTAGTTCATGCACTGATGCACATAAGATGTAAGTGAAGTTTTATGGAGTTGCATGTGTGTTTCGTACCATATAAACATGACTGATTGCACAGAGACTACTGGAAGAGAGCTGAACTGGATGATGACATCACTGAATCATCAATGAGCTGACTTTAGCTGGAAAAATGACTCTGTTATTGTCTTCTTCTATTATTGACCAACTATTTTCCTGTTTGAGCTGTCAAGCTGCTTTGACACAATCAGTATTGTATAAAGCGCTATATAAATAAAGGTGACTTGACTTGACTAAACCATGTCAGCGGTCAGGTTTATTGGTACCTGGTTGGGATCTGGAAGTTGGCCTCTCGGTCGAGTCTGTATGCCACCTGGAGGGATGTGGATCCTTCTACCTTTCTGACGCCCCTCATGGGGATGACATCCAACTGAAACTGTGTGATCAGATCGAACCCTGCCACACACAAATACACACTTTAAATACTCCTAAAATCCTAAAGCAAGAATAATAGAATTTCTATTACAATGTAGAGTCAATTCTGATAAAATATGAATTCTTTGTGCACACTGCATATAAATCCAATTTGTTTTTCCAGATAAGATCTTTCGGACTGTATACAGTGTCATTTTGTATGATAGACAGTTCATACTGTCCACATCTGAACCAAAATATTGCTGTTTAGACAAACAAAAAATCTATTCAAATTTAATTAAAAATATCAAAATATCAGATTTTTTTTTTCATAAAGCCTACCACCTAATAACAAAAACAAAACAAACCAACCAAACAAATATACAACAAATGTAAAAATGTCAAAATATATTAAAGCCTAAAACCTAATAATTTCTGGAATACAAAAAAATAAAAAAATTAATAAAGTGTCAAAACAACAAAACAAATAGTTAAAATGGAATTTTAAAAAAAAAATATATATATATATATATAATCTAAAAATATCTAAAATCTAATAATTTACAAAATAAATAAAAAATAAAAACAATAAAAAAATGTTAACTGTCTACCCAATACAATGCAATTTACAATAAATCTCATTTGATCCTGATTATATCCAAATTGTAATACAAATTCCGTTAACATTTGTGAGAAATTCACGCAATCACAATCATTTAAAGCAAAATTAATATGCATTTATGCACATATCCAGTCCAAAAACATGCAGTAGGTCTCTTTACATCTGTTTACTTCAGTAATTGCATTCGAACTTGCTTACTCCCCGTTTCCAGTCTGTGCACAGAGCAGCACATGTTTGTGATTTGAGGTTGCACCCTCCGCATTATTTGTTAAAAGCCAAGGAGTCGCAACCAATTAAGATCTTGCTGAGTTAGAAGTGTTTCCACTGCAGAAATTGGCTGGCCAGAGACCAAAGTTTTATTGGCCTCGTTTGAGATCTAAAGATGTCTTAAAACGAGGTGAATATCAGCTTCAGCATCTTTACCTAATAAAACAGTGTTGTGCCGCTGCATGTCCTGTAGAAAACTACTATTTATAGGTAAACAATGCCTGAATGAAGAGAGTTTTTAATGATAATAATGCATAAAGGATGGTGGTAAGATTTATACTTAACAGTCATGAGAAGTGCTCTAGTATGCAGATTTTTTATTTTTTTTTTTAATAAAGGAGCTGGACCTCTTTTAGATAACCAAGAGGTTTCAATATATGGGTATGTGCACTGCATATACAGTATACTGTATATATATATGCAATTATATATATATATATCATGCAATTTGTATGAAACATGCAATCCTCAAAATTCTGCATTTCATGTTGAAATCAGTTCACATTATGTTTTTCAGAGTGGCTCAATTTTACCTGGAAGGTCATCTTGTCCATTCTTCATGGGTGGGCACACCGTGTCGCCATCTAATCTGTTCAAATCCAGCTCTGAAAAATTCATAAGTGACATGAGTGTCATTTCAGGCCTGTCTGCAGCGACAGATCACCAGAGAATACGTTCAGATTGTTAAAGGCGTGACATTCACCCCACTCATATCAGTAGGCAAATTGTCCCACAAACACATATCTTTTACAACATAATAATATTAATCATTTGTCATTAATTTTAATAGTCAAATTAAATGGTAAAATATCTGATATAATTGTATATTTAATTATAAAATTATTCTTAAATATTATATTTGAATTATAATTAAATTATAAATATCTAAAATATGTTTTAAATATTAAAATATAAAATTATATTAAAGCTTAAAATAATGTCAAGCATACCTAGAATAGAGAAAGCATACAGCAAATTAGATATGTTTAATTACCACAAGGAAAACTATTGAAAAAAAAATAAACAAATGGGAAACAAATAGATTTAAAAAATATGAAATAAATATTTAATTTTACATGAATTATTTAAATTTAAATAAAATACATAAGCACTTTTCAAATGTATTTGCATATTACTATTTTCCTTATGTTTATGCAAATCCATTCAGCACACTCAATCTATATGATTTTCTAAACAAAAGAGGGAGTCATAATCAGCGCCAGCATCATTTTAAAGCCATACATACTGTGCACGGTTGAGCATAAGATGTGATAAATGTGTCATAATTACAGTGAGGAAGTATATTCTGGAATTATGGACATACTGTCAATGTACATGTGTGGGTCTGCAGGACAGCTTTCAGAAGGTCAGACTGACAGATACAGTCATCTGTGCTCATTTGTATTAATCTAATGTAAGTGCATGATGGGAAAACAAACGTGACACTCCATCCATCACAAGGACAGTTTCCTCCCATGAACATTAGATCCTATGATGGAGAACATCAGCTCTCATTCCTTTCAATAGTTTACCATTTGACACTCTGATGCACCCAAAAATAACCTGAGAAGGGACTTTAGCTGTTGTTTTTGCACTGTTTTCATATATATATGTCTATTAAAGAAAAACGGAAAAATTCAATACAGTGTTATTTTAGTACAGTTGATATATTTTAATTTCAATGATCTATAAAATAATTAAAATGATAGTTTTTGTTTAATATTTTGAATTCATTTTTTTTGCTATATTTTCATTTTAATTTAATTTAATTTAATTTAATTTAAAATGAAAATATAAGCTACAGTTTTAGTAATGTTAGTAATTTTGTTGTGTGTTTTAGTCATTTTTATTAGGTAATTAAATATATCTCTATATAGTTTTTATTTGTTGTTTGTTATTTTTGAACTTCAATGTAAATTAAATGAAAATGATGCCCTAAAATACATAAAATATTTTATTTAATGCTTATTTTAAGTAATAAAAATGTAATGAGTAATATTTTTTTTATGGTTTTAGATTTAGTTAATGATAATAACCCTGACTTAAGATGCTATAATATTTGTTTGGTTCCACTGTTCTGTGACCTAAAACAAGATGCTAAAAAACAAAACAAAAAAACAATAAATAATGAAAATAAAACATGACTACTCAAAAATGCTTCCAGAATGCTCAAAATATTTTGTATTTCTTAACTTTAATCACTTCATGATTCCCACAATCTCCTAAAGCCCTCTGTCATAAATGTACCATGATATTACCATGCATTTTGAACAATACCATGATGATAATACTATGCTATTCTTTTAAGTACCTTGCTAATAGTGTACATTGTGGTATTCGCACAGTGCTGCAGTATATTTCAAAAGTACCACGGTATTTCCATCTGGCTTTACACAGTATGAACAGACACACTGACATCTGGAACTTCTCGAAGGTCTGAAATAAACAGGCACTAGCGAGAGGTACCAGAGTAAAAAAAGGCATTCTCCTGTGTTTTTACAGTGCTGTTTATCCGGGCACAGAGCCGTGTGAGAGCGCTTTAAACCCTCATATCCTCTTGTGTCATTTTAAAACCACCCATTAGCGCAAATGAGGGACTAAGCCGAGACTGAAGCCACAGTGTTCGTGCAGTCGCTTACACACACGTTTATACAAGCTTGTAGACATGTACTGTGATTCAATGAGGACCACACACTGATGTCAAAACAAAACAACTGTAAAGGTCACATGACAGGGGTTAAATCACTAGAGGTTGGTTAGGTGCTGTATTGTTATCGCTAGTCGCTATATTCGACTGATTTAACCAAGTATATCAAGAGTCGTGGTACTATTTTTATTTAAAATGAAAGTATATTTGTCAGCATTTGGGTTTATTTAAACACTGCTTTATTAGCGTTCAGTAAAATACAGACATAATGTGTGATGTATGTAATTAAAGGAATAGTTTAAGAATTAAGATTTGCTGAAATTTTCCCATTTAAGATGTAGATGAGTTTATTTATTCATCTGAACAGATTTGGAGAAATGACACATTAATCGATGAACTGAAGTCGTGTAGATTACTTGTGGATTATTGTGATGTTTTTATCAGCTGTTTGGACTCTCATTCTGACGGCACCCATTCACTGCAGAGGATCCATTAGTGAGCAAGTGATGTAACGCTAAATTTCTCCAAATCTGTTCTGATGAAGAAACAAACTAATCTACATCTTGTATGGACAGAGTGAGAGTACAATGCAGTTGTCAAGGTTGAAATGTTTTTTTTGTTTAAAATGTCTGCTGAATGACTAATCAGGTTATTAATTAATCATCAGTCATAAAAAAAAATCAGTTTTATTGATTCCTCATATCCAGCTGAGATGCATTATTGCCTGCCAAACCACAACAATGACTAAAAAACAGGACAGAGAAAGGCATTATGTAATGAGTAGCATTGCAATTGCATTTTAACAGTTTAAATCTCTGGGACAACAAACATTCTTTTGAGAAGATACTCACGAGCGAGAGCTGGTGCACAGAGCAACATGAAGACAATCACACATGTTAAACATCCCGCCAGCGTCCGTCGCCAGACCCAGCTCCTGCCAGAGACAGACACCATCATGTAAAACTAACAGAGGTAGCCAAATATTCAGCACTGAGGGAGAAATAATGCAAAAGATGAATTTGCAAAAATATTATTCTGAATATTGGTGAGACTTGTCTAGGGAATGTTTGACTCTGGGTTTTCTGAATCAAAATATGTTCTGAATTAAACTAAATATATATTTTTTTGATCTTGATAAAATGTATCATGGTGTCCACAAAAATATTGAGCAGCACAACTGTTTTCAACATTGATAATAATCAGAAATGATTTATTTTTTTTTTTTTTTGAGCAGCAAATAAGCATATTAGAATTGATTTTGAAGGATCATGTGACACTGAAGACTGGAGTAATAATGCTGAAAATTCAGCTTTGCATCACAGGAATAAATTATGTTTTAAAATATATTCAAGTAGAAAACAGTTTTTTTTTTAATTTGTAATAATATTTCACCATTTTACCATTTTTACTGTATTTTTAATCTAATAAATGCAGTCATGGTGAGCTTAAGAAACTTACCAACCTCAAACTTTTGAACAGTAGCACATTATTAAAATCAGTCAGACACAGACCCTCAAGAAACCCCAGCAGCTCCTCGCTGGAACAGAGCCATGCTGAGAGCGAGACAGAGACCCTGAGCCACCTGTCCACTCTAGCATCCTTATGTGTGTGTTGTTTTAAATTGGCTAGAGAGGCACAGGAAGGTGACATGAAGATACTGTGCTACAGTAATGATGAATGAGTCATTCTCTTGGGTCAGAGGTACAGACACACAATATGCACCATCTATCCACAGCATTACACACACACCTAACCCTGTCACTCCATTACCCATCCATCCATCCGTCCATCCATAGGACACATGCAGATTCTTTCCACTGACTGGACTTATGGTAAGCATGTTAAAGTGACTTTTTGCAAATATTATGCATAAAATGTCCTGCTACCTGACAGATTTCTGAAGCAGATGCCCTGAGAATACACTGCAGTCTCTGTGACAGCACAAACGAATCGGCCTACGCACGTGTTGGCAAGCTCTCTGCCTGTCAGTCATTATGTGTTTGAGTTTGCTGACACCAATTCATTAAAAAAAAGCCTCAAAAGAATGATTGAGACACCAGAACTTGTCTGATGAAATCTCATGGATGTGATTAGGCAAATGTCAAGATCTGAATAACAACTTTGAGTCAATAATAACTTAAATTTCAGTCTATTTCTCACTCAAAGCTATTGTATGACTTACTGTATTAACTCTACTTCTTACAGGTTTGGAACAGCATGACATACTGTTCAAACATTTGGGGTAATAAACAGTAAAAACAGTAATATTGTGAAATATTATTACAATTTAAAATAACTGTTTTCTACTTAAATATATTATAAAATGCCATTTATTCCTGTGATGCAAAGCTGAATTTTCAGCATCGTTACTCCAGTCTTCAGTGTCACATGATCCTTCAGAATTCATTCTAATATGCTTATTCTTTTAATTATTAATGTTGAAAACAGTTGTGCTGCTTAATATGTTTGTGGAAACCATGATACATTTTTTTCCAGGATTCTTAAAAGGACCAAAATAACAGCATTTGAAATCCTTTGTAACACTAAACGTCTTTACTGTCAGTTGTGATCAATTTGTTGCATTTGTACTGAATAAAAATACGCATTTCTTGAAGTAAAGAATATAAAATCTTACGTAACCCAAACGTTTGAATGGGATATAATGCTCTTATATACACATATATAATGCAACTCACATACTCCCTGTTAGGACTGTCAAAATGATCCCCTCTCTCTCTCAGCGTAATCTCAATCCCTTGACAAATGGTTTTGCTTTGCAAGCAATTGTTCTATTATACAAAAATAACAGCTTGTATTTTTCATTTGCAGCTGTTGAGGCAGAAGTGTGTGTGAAGATGACAGAATAATGAAACAGAAGGATGAGAGCACAATACAGATAATTATACAACTTCAGATCTGTGATTTTTCACAGTCATTAGGAGAAATAAAAGAGAGAATGTGCATATGAAGGGAAATACTCCAGTCCACTATAATGTAAAAATAGAGAGTTGTGTGTGTGTGTGTGTGTGTGTGTGTGTGTGTCCGTGTGTGTCACACATATGGCAGTGGCCCCCGAGCTGTGGTGGCTTTGGTGTGTGAGCCAGATTCCCTGGCAGCTTTCCTGAACACTCACAGTGTCTTAATTAAAGTATTCCCAACCTTCCCTCCTTTATATAGTTATGGCTCTCAAAACTGATTGTTACTGAAATTAAAATAAACAAACAAACAAAAACTATTAAGATTAGTTTGCATTGAGATACCTATTTGTTATGATAATTTGGCACAATGACACACAATTCTCATAGGTGTAAAAAAAAAAATAAAATTTTACATTTAGCAATGCTCTTTATAATTTAAAAAAACATTGCATTATAGTACAGTTTTACCAATTGCACACACACACACACACACACACACACATATATATATACAGTGTTGGGCAAGTTACTCTGAAAATGTAATCAAATTACTGATTACTGATTACTCCTTTTAAAAGTAATCACGTTACTGTTCTGATTACTTTATTTCAAAAGTAATTAGTAATTAGTTACATTACTAGTTACGTTATTTTTTTCTCCATGAAATTTATGAAATCCCAGCATAGACGCTCCCGATAAATATTTGTTATTAAAGCATCAACATTCACAGAACACTGTTATTTTGAACTAAAGCAAGCGGCTGCTGCGTGCATGGTTTGCATTGGCAGAATGCCAGCAGAGATTTATAATCTCTAAAAGACATCTCAGTTCATCGCAATCTCACAAATCTCTGTTATAACACAATAAATATATGCATAATTAATCTTTCATAATGTCTACAGTTCGTGTGTTAAAATGAGAGGATTTGTGATTATAAAACACTGCATTCTGTCAGCAATGTAATGCGGCAGTAACGTATTTACTCCGTTAATAAAAAAAAGTAATCAAATTAAAGTAATCAAATTACAGTAACGCATTACTAAGTAATGCGTTACTGCCAAACACTGTGTGTATATATATATATACAGTGGGTACGGAAAGTATTCAGACCCCCTTAAATATTTCACTCTTTGTTATATTGCAGCCATTTGCTAAAATCATTTAAGTTAATTTTTTTTCCTCATTAATGTACACACAGCACCCCATATTGACAGAAAAACACAGAATCGTTTACATTTTTGCAGATTTATTAAAAAAGAAAAACTGAAATATCACATGGTCCTAAGTATTCAGACCCCCGTACCCACTGTATATATATATATATATATATCAACATACTGCATATAAATTATACTATATTTAAACACATAAAATAAAACGTGCAAAACATATTTCTTTCTTACAAATCAATTAGTAAAATGTGCTTAACTACCATATATATACACACACACACACACACACACACACACAACTTGGACAGAAAACTGTCTCTAGACATCAAGATGTTACTTTGTGATCATAGTTAGTTCGGCAAACACTTCAAAATGTTCTTTTCAAGGACTACAGGGTAAAGATGCACTATCATAAAATAAGTAAATAAATAAAAACTGTGAACATGAGCCATAGGAGTAATATAGTATCATTTAACTAGATAATATGGTAATCACTTAGTCCCAATATCCACTATATACTATATATATCATCTGAGACTGTCTGATACTGCAGGTTTTGTGGGATTCTCTCTGTGTCTCATACAGTAGTGGGGGAAACTCAGATTAGGAGGCAGGGTTATCTTAATCTTGGATTTGGTCCTGCTGACACACTCGTAATCCATGCGGGGAGGAATATCTCCTCCCACTCACAGCCGTCATCAGCCACAAATGTATGAGGGAACACTCCGGAAATCACAAGCTGCTGATTGATCATAGTATAAGAGATGTGTGATCAGCAACAGCGTAAAAATACCAAAAACTGAGGAGGCACTCGGAGCGATTTATACAACATCTGACTCACTCAACATGAGCTTTAAAGAACAGATATCGTATATTTCAATAATGGGTTTAAATTTTGAATTTGCACTCAGAATTAGCTATACATTTATTTGTGATACGCTTTATACGCTTTGTTCCTTCCTTATACTCTTATGCTCATAAACTGGTAAAAATAATTACAAAGAAAAATGCAGAGTAAATGCCCTTACAAAACTGTGGCAGTAACAAATCAGATGGCAATATTATGGTACTTGTCCAAAAATCCATTAACAAAAAACATGGTAGTACCATGGTACTTATTTGGAAGTGCTATATGAATATGGTTTGTAGATAATTTTAGGGGTATACCATTTATTAATGTTCTGTGCAGGGTTCCCAAACCTTTTCACCATAGAATTTACATAACTCTATTCTAAGTTTATAGAGCATTTCACTCGCAAAAAAGCAATTTCTAATATTTATATTTTATATATATATATATATATATATATAATAAAAATATATTTACCACAAAAAAATAGTCTTTCACAAGATGATTAATTGAGACGCTAACATGTGTCCTAATGTGTTCAACTTTTTCATACTGCAAACAAACACACTGAAATATGGAGAATATAATCAGATTTGTGTTGGGATGTGTGATTTCCCTGCTAGGCAACTGCTGTTTTCCTGAGCAAACCAACTGCTGTCTTTCATCCAGATGTTGAGGGAAGTTCCTCCTCAACTTTCATCTAAACTATCATTACAATGGCGCTTAGAAGAACAGAAAATCTTAAATGAAAAGTTTGTGATGGCGGAAGCATTTTATCTGTATGGCACAGACATAGAAGAACCTGCCTTGAAAACTCAAACATAAAAACACCAAAAGAAAAACACAAAATGCAGTTAAGGCTCGATTTAGGTCCTAATAAGTGTATTACACACCTAATGCACTAAAAAGTGTGAAGCTGTTTTAAATTCTATGCCAAATTATGTTCCTCACTGCCTGTTTTAAAAACACTCAGAGCTCAACAAAGGGTCAAAGCAACTCATCAAAGGGAAATATTCCCAAAAATAGTAACACCAAGGTGTTGTAAGATCTTTTCCATGTTTTTCATAAGGTGTTTGAGATCTTACCTGCTCATGCTGAGGAGAGGAGCCATTTTTTCTGTCCCTCAACAATGGGGATGTGAGAGTCTAAATGGATGCAGAAGTTTTGTCCTTTGGCCCAGAGATGCGTCGTCCCCCTCCAGTCCGTCTTCAGTGGTGCCCACGGGCCTCTCTGACTGAAGACGACCTGTGCAGGAGATGCCAAACTTTTGGGACACATTAAGGGTTTTTTGCAAGGGCGACCTGGCTTGGTTCCTGGCGTCCAATTGGCTGGAAGAGCTCTGAGGGGTGGTGGCAAGGCTTTTTTACGACTGATGTTTAAGGGTGATGTTGAGCCTCGGGCGTTACGAGCACCTTTTTTCATTTCTGCACAGGAGCTAATAACACATGTTGAGCGGCGGTAATTCTGCTAATGGGAAGCCCTACTGCAGGGAGAGCCTGTCATAAACACAGTTAGATTGTGTGTACATGACGCTGGTTAAAAAAAAAACTACATTCAACATCCCACCTGGTTGACAACCATTATTCACGAATCATACTTCAATCTGTGTGAATAAATCTGGGCTGATTGCACTAAGGTTGCATATGCAGGTAGAGTAGTTGATGCAAAATCTAGGAAGGTAGTGTACTTTAACAACGCTTCAAAAACCAAAGTGTCTCCAGGTAGACAGGCACTGCTGCAATTCCTACTGTAGTGATCCTTCACTTTTTTTTGTCACATTTTCTATTTTGATTATAAGGGGAAATCTGAAGAAAGGGTTTAAAATGGTAAAATGTTTAAAAAATAAATAAAAAGGTAAAGATTGTAATATATGTATATATATATATCTCACAGAAGTGAGTACACCCCTCACATTTTTGTAAATATTTTATTATATCTTTTCACTTTTCAACACTCAGCGGTTTAGACATTAATGGCTATGTGTTGAGTTATTTTGAAAATGGCACAATGGTAAGAAATAAAATTAAAGCTAGGTAGCTAAAAGCATAAACAACTGCATATATTTAAAATTTGTATACATTCAAATAAGCAAATGTGAGCATTGTTTGTCCATGCAAAACTCTCCGTAAATTTCCGGAAACATTCCAAAAGTAAAAAAAAAAATTCTGGAATGTTTCCGGAAATTTTCCACCTCTTTACAACCCTTCTACTAGGCCAAACTATTCTAGATATTCTATGATTTAAATCTAAGTCTATGGCTTTTCACTGTTTTTATTACAACTCACAAAACACATAAGTCCAATTGCACAATATGATGTATAAAACATAAACTTGTCTTGGCAACCACCATTGATTAACCAAACTGCCAAAATTTCTCTATATTGCAAACATTATGATCACATTAGTAATAATCGCTTTAATGAGCTTCTGCCTAAAATTAATTCATGTTAGCTAGCTGTATGATTCTATTATCTTGAACTGTTCATTTGTGAAATGAACATTACTTGGACACATTCACTTCTGATAAAAGATCACTCTAAATTGTAATGCAGACACATGCATTAGCATTTTCTGTAAAGCTGCTTTGAAATGATGCGTATTGTGAAAGCGCTATACAGATAAATTTGAATTGAATTAACCAAGATATCTAATAAAAAAAATACAAGCAGAACTAAGTGTTGAAATTCCGTGTGGAGTTTTCTGAAGAATTCAGTGGGCGCAGGTTTCTGGTCGGAGCCACTGATGACTAATGCTGAAGGATGTTGAGAGAAATCTGTCAGATGGGAGATATTGCATAACAAACCTCAAGTTATGCCCAAAAGGGTGTTAAAACAATAAAAGCAGCAAAAAATTAGACCCAAAAAGCTGAGGGATAAGAAAAGCAGCAGCAGTGCCAATCTTCCTCAGCAAATGGTGACTAACTATGAGGGATGTTGAGGTACATCTAACAGATGGGAAATACTGCATAATAAACCAATAAAGCATTTGTATGTTTATATTAGATTAGTCAGACTTGTTTTTGCTTTACTGTCCTTATTGGATTATAAAGAAAAATACTATTTAATAAAAGATGAGACACAGCAGAGTGCTCTCAAAAGAAAAGGAGATTGTAAAGTCGCTGTAAAACGACTGTGAAGTCGATCTGTGTCGGCTTGCATGAGCTCCCTCACTATTAAGGTCTTGCCTTGCAGCTTCGCCCTCATCAGAGGAAGATTCTGTGGAAGGAAATACTAATGACATCAAAACAGGTCTATGAAAGTAACTTGCTCACAGGCATGTCAGCCACAATGACTTCTGTTACATCAAATGTGAAGTAATTTATACCTTACAAGAGGATTTTAGGGTATCGCTGCAGGGCCCAAACAGAATCTGCATTTCATCTTACAGGATATATAATTCAAAACCATCTTCATTCACTCTTTCAAAACCAGTTTTATCTGTTATAAAGGGATAAAAGACCACGAAAAGCACTTGAAAAAGTTATAGCACCAGCTTAAAACAAAGAAATGCTGAAGCATGCATCATGTCCTCATAAAACACACGCTCAGGCTGTCATGGAACATCTGGATAGCTGGTCTTTAATTAAAGATTTTAGACACCAGGCAAGAAACTTGAAGAATGTGTGAACACTGCAAAATGATTTTCTCTGGCTTCTCCTGTACTGCGTATGCATATAAACATGTAAAATGTATGCATTATGCAGTGACAATATGTCTTTAAACTACTGTTCAGTGTGGGGTAAAAAAAAAATGTTGAAAGAAATCAATACTTTTATTTAGCAATGATGCATTAAATTGATCAAAAGTGACGTAATAGCATAATGTTTCAAAATATTTCTTATTTCAAATAAATGCTGTTCTTTTGCTATTCATCAAAGATTACTGAAAAAAAAAAATCATGGTTTCCACAAAAAAAAAACAAAAAAAAAAAACAATGAAGCAGCACAACTGTTTTCAACACTGAGAATAATAATCTTTTTTTAGCAGCAAATCAGCATATTAGAATGATTTCTGAAGGATCATGTGACACTGAAGACTGGAGTAATGATGCTGAAAATTCAGCTTTGCACCACAGCAATAAATTACATTTTAAAATATATTCAAATAGAAGAGTTATTTTAATAGTAATATTTCACAATATTACTGTATTTTCAATCAAATAAATAGAGACTTCTTTCAAAAACATTAAAAAACAATGAATCATGACTGACCCCAAATTTAAATAGTGTGTATGACAGAAATACTAGCAAGAGTAGTATTCTAGTATGCTAAGTTCAGTTATACATTTTAAACAGCAGCATTCCAAATTGTTGCATTCCCTCACTGGCATTGCTGTCACATGACCTAGCAAGTTTCGAAAAATAAAACGTGATTGTGCATTTTTAAATCCAATCTTGTGTAAATTTGTCTTAAAAATGGAGTAACTTTTAAAATACTTCCTCCTACCCCAACAGGTAAACCATCCATGGGTTGATTTCCTTGAAAAGTTGATTTCTTTAAAAAAAATAAAATAAAAAGAAATAATTTATCTGATGACAGACGGGTGAAGGAGACCTGTTTGAAGTAGGCATTTCCATACAATTACCCAACAAATATGTTTATTAATATGAATATTACTTACGGTTTGTGCACTGGTAGGTCAAGTTTCTGCAGTACATTGTTCTGGCTGTGTACTGTGCAATTCAGCCCATATTTATGTATACAGAAAATGTACATATCATTTACAGCACATACTAAATATGACAAAAAGGGCAAGACAGCGTATGTAAAGTTTGAAGGACTCATGGTATTTGGTTATGCTTCTGCAGTGACACTAACCTTAGTATTTGGGGTTTCCTGTGTGCAGATAAAATCAGGAAGTTACCTGTTCAAGACCAGATGTTGTAGAGTTTACATAAGCCAATCTGCACACCTGCACAGTCTGCTACTACTCAGAAATGCAGAGCTATTGTGCAACTACCCACATGAGCTTTTAAAAACACTCCAATGTATATACTGTACTGTCTGCACCGATTCAGCATCAATATTTGATCGGTACACACAAAGAGACATCCGCATTCACTGGCCGAAACAGACTCGCATGCTTTTAGTGCATAGCACACACTGTGTTTAAACAACCAGCAGTATGAATGCAATGAATGCTGGGTAACTTCAATATGTAATCTGATTATGAATAGCAGAGGTTTAACAGTCATGGGCAGGTGATCCAACCTCAAATTATAAATCTATTATTTTAGATTTATTTATGTATTGATTGGTTGATGGTCCTGCTTAATTTTTTACAATTAAATATTAATCCTAAACTTAAACTAAGTGCAGAGACACATTTAGTGTGTTAAACAAGAGTAAAGCTGAATTATCTCACATTTATTGACACTGGCGTAAGCCTGTATGCATGTGCGTCTGACAACACAGAGCACACATCCATCCCTTATTATCATGCATCCAGCCTCAGACACACACAGAGAGAGAGAGAGAGTGAGAGAGAGAGGGGCCAAGCGAGTGGCGCAGCAGCACTTACGCAGATTGGACATCATCTGTGGAAGTGGGAGAACGCAAGCGCGCTACCGCAGCATGCAGGAGCTGAATGATCACCATGGCAACAACAGCATCAGCATCAGTACCAGCAGCAGCAGTAGCAGCAGAAGCAGAAGCAGCCGTGAGCCACTCATGCCTGTGTCAACACTGAGACCTGCTCCTGCTCTCAACACACACTCCCTCCCTCTCAACTTAATGACATAGGATCAAAGTGGGTGCGCGGATCACGCCTCTGGGTCGTCGCACAGGCAGGTAAGGTGACGGACGTTTACGCTTTCTCTGTTATTGTTTATCCGTGTTTGGCTCACATCGACTGTGGACTTGCTTTTGACTGGTGTTTCCTAATGACTGTCTAATCTGGTCTGGTCTTTAAGCCGCTCTTAGATGGACAGGCAGGGAAATATTCCGTTATCCGGCATAAATCCCTGTTAGGAACATATTGGATGCATATTCTGCCAATGCAATGCGCCAGCCATCTGGCTCCATCAGAAAAGCACAGCACTGTATTTCTACATGACAACAACACATTTGAAGCATGTGACATTGATGATGATTTGAGCAGTATGCCGTGTGCCGGACACCACGGTTGGGAATTATTTGATTTAGGTGCATGTATACTAATTCGCTTTCTGTTCTGTTAGAGGGCTAATATGTCATTTGATGGGTCAGAAAGAGTTCAATCAAAACCTGAAG